TTCAGAATACTTTCTAATTTCTTTTGTCATTACTTCTTTGACCCGGGGGTTATTTAAAGATTTTATTTATGTGTGTGTGTGAGAGAGAGAAAGAAAGAGAGGGAGCATGAGCTGGAGGGGAAGCAGCCTCCCCTCTGAGCAGGGAGCCAAATGTAGGGCTTGATCCCAGGACCCTGAGATCATGACCTGAGCTGAAGGCAGATGCTTAATCAATTGAGCCACCCAGGTGCCCTGACCTAGGGGTTATTTAGATGTGTGTTAATTAGTTTGTGGTCACAGAGCACACTTTCATGACTTCAGTCCTTTTGACTTGCTCCTTTTATTACAATTTATTTTATGACCCAAAATATAGTCTCCTTTGGTAAGTGTTCCATGGATAGCTGAGAAGCATGGTGGTGTTCCAGTCTACTATATCCTTGCTGATTTTCTGCCTATTGAAATCTCAGACTATAATTGTGAATTTGCCTGTTTCTCTGTAATGCTATCGATTTTTGCTTTATGTATTTTGAACCTATTAATAGATGCATAAACATTTAGGTTTGTTATGCTTCTTTTAATTGACCCGTCTATCATTATAAAATGACCTTATTTATTGCTGCTAATGTGTTTTGCCATGAAATCTATTTTGTCTGGTATTAGTATAGCCACTCAGGCTCAGCCTTCTTTTGTCAAGTTGTTAGTGTGGTCTGTCATATTTCTGGCCTTTTAAAAAATTTGTGTCTTTACATTTAAGGTGTATTTTTTTAATGGGTGGCATATAGTTGGGTCTTCCTTTTTCATCCATTTTGACAGTCTGCCTTTTCATTGAGGCTTTCGGACCATTTTCATTTAATGTGATTATTGATGTGGTGGATTTGAATCTGTCATCATATCGTTTGACTTCCATCTGTCCTTTCTGCTTTTTGCTCCTATTCTCTTCTTTTTCTGCTTTCTTTTAGATTAATCAAGTAATTTTTATGATTTAGTTTTATTTATGTGAGTATGCGTATGTGTGTATTTTGCTTACTCTAGCTATAACTCTTTAGTTGTGCTATTTTAGTGATTAGGGTTTAAAGTATATGACTTAAGCATCACAGTCCACCTTTGAGTAATGTTATACCACATCATAGTAGTTTAAGAAAAGTATAATAGCTTACTTCCATTTCTTCTCTCCTAGCCAGATCCTTCTGGATCTGTGGGATGATAGTTTTCATTATTTAGAAAGGTTTTGGTCATTTTTTCTTTCCTTTTTTAAAGATTGTATTCATTTATTTGAGAGAAGGAGAGTGAGAGGGCACGAGCGGGGGAAGGGGCAGGGCAGAGGGAGAAGCAGACTCCCCAGTAAGCAGGGAGTCTGACACGGGGCTTGATCCCAGGACCCTGAGATCATGAC